CCAGCGACTCTTTTAGTTGTGTTCGATGCGCACGAAGGTCCTTGCCATTGGCTGGCGGCGGGAGCCAAAGCCGGTGTTGCTGTGCTTGCTCCGGGTCGGCTGGACGTGGTAGCGGTGGTGCCTGCTCCACGCGTTCCCGCCGAGGCGGGGCGGCGCTGCGCGCACGCTGGTGTAGTGTCGCGTTGTCCCAGCTACACTTCTGGGGGCCCCAGACGGCTCGCCACGGTGCCTGCCTGGAGTGGTGTCGGGAGGGGCGTCTGCGAGACACCTGCTGCCAGGCCTCGCTGTCGCCGTCGTCGTCGTCATCTTGATTATCTCCTCCTGTGGGGGGCACTGCAGGGGCTGGCGCCTGGGCGCAGAGTCTGCAAGTGCTCGAGCAGTAGATGTTCTGGCGCTAGCAACTGCGGCATTCCCAAAACCTGGCGTTGGAGGAGCCGCTCTGCGCGGGCCGCCGCGCCCCGCTGCCGCCATACCGGAGTGGTGGCTCTCCGGGCGCCTGCTGGCAGCTGCAAGCCGCAGAAAGCACCCGATCGCCCGCCCTGAGCGCGCGCTGTCGGCGGTGCCGCCGACCAGCCATAACTGGGGGAGCTGTGGTCCTTACCCCCCTGGGGGAACCTATCGCATCGAAGATCTCTCGAGAGGGGTGTCGAAATCGATGGGTCCTCCAGGGGGGTAAGGACCACAGCTCCCCCAGTAGTGGCTGGCCTGTGCCAGGCCGGCTCCGGGGGCCCGCTGCCACAGCGCCGTGGCGGAAGGCCAGGGGCCGGCCACGTGCGCGGGAGCAGCCGGATGGCACGGCCAGCCGCCTCGGCTGGAGGCAGGCCAGCGCGTCTGGCCGCGGTCCGACGGCGGGGTCGCAGCTTCCTGGAGGCTGCGCCCAAACCCCTTGTGCCGGAACGGCGGCTGAGGAGGGGGGAGGGAGGGAGGGAGGGAGGAGGGAGGAGGGAGGAGGGAGGAGTCGCGATCCCATAGGACGACGCGCCGAGTTCGAAACGGGACGGGCAATAGAATCAGGAGGAGACGAGCGAGCGCAATCGAGCACAGAACGACTGTGGGCCCCAGGGCACTGTAAGCCCAGCCGAAGCATCACGGCAGTGACAAGAGGTCCCACGAGGAACGCCCAGGAGACGGCAACGCCGAGAACCCAGGACAGGAACGAGTTCCAGGAAAACTCAGAACACAAATGAATACCAGGCGCCGCTCAGAGAACGGCCCCCGAGACAGACTATATGGAGAGGAGGCCTAGCCACTGGACTGCGTCATCCGTGACTAAGAGCCTGAAGGGAATGGGGGGAGGGGGTGAACGGCCTCCCTTGGGGTGGACGGCCTTCATAAAGTTACCCCTCCTCCACTTCCTCTGAGGGTTTCCCTCAGGGGCCGCCTCAGGGTCACACGTCCAGAAGAGCTGAGTGCGTGCCGTGCGGGCCGTAAAAGCCCCACATTTGCTGCAACCCACGAGATCCCCTGATATGTACAACACGTGGGCCCTGGCGCTGCGGGGCGGGACCTCCCCCGACCTCGGCAGAGGCTCTAGAGGAGGATCCGCATCCGCCAGGGACGGTGGGGCGCCCCTGCCCGCGCGCTTCACGCCACGCCCAGCCGCGGCCTTCACCGCTCCCACGATGGCCGACTGAGGGCAGGGGCCTCCAGGAGCCTCAGAAAAACGAACGCTTATGCGGGACGACGCGCGGTTGATCATCCGCGCCCTCCCTCTTGACAGCGAAGTCTCTACCATGATCTTTGGAGCTGCAAACGGGGTCTGACCTGCGGCACGCATCGTCAGCCTCTGGAATGCCTGGAGTTCGGGGAAGAACCGAAGTGGGGCGCACAGTCGGAGGCGGAGGAGGGGGGGGTGTGACCCTAGGCTCAGCCCTGTGACACCTACCAGCAACATCCAGCTCCATCTGCCCCTCGACGTCCTCCAGACGACTTGACGACCTTCCCACTCCCTGGGTTTCGTCCTCACCAAACCCCTGAGCCGCCAGCGGCCCTGGCCTGGCTGGCACACTTGGTCCTCCAGGGGCCGACCGCTCCAGGCCACGGAACCTGGAGACCCGAGCGGGCTCCTGGCCCCCATCCCTCGGCCGCATCCTGGCCGCACTGACCCCGGGGCCCCACTCCCCACGGGCCAGGTCGGGTCGGATATGGCATCGGCCTCTTCGGAGGCGATCCAGACCCGCCAGGGGGCGAGCAGATCGGGGGCAGTGAGCACATCGCCAGCCACGCTGGCATGGGAATGGCGTGTGCTTTTTCATGCTCATCATCTCGAGCCGCCGTCTCTCGGCGGCTCCGCCATGGCGCCTGGGCGCGCCGTCACCGTCGGCAGCGCTGCGTCCTCGGCGCCCACCTTGGGCCCCTCGCCCGCGGCGCCCGAGGGTCGGCTCCCTGTCCGCGGGCCTCGCCTCCAGCTGTGCCTGGCTGTTGCCGATCCAGGCCGCAACCTGCCGCACCTCTTCCAGGAGTTCCGCGTGGCGCTCGTAGATGTGCTCGGGCACTGCATGGATGCCTAGGCCCTTCTTCGCAGCCATGTCGGCGTAGTCATTGCCGATCTTGTCGTGCGACTCTGCAGTCTCCAGGAAGGTCTGGTGACCTTTGACCCAGCTGATGCGGAGGTCACTGTTCAGGCCACCCTGGTCCTCCAGCGTGTGCCACAGCTGGCGCCACAGGTCTGCGTTGTCCTTTCTCGGATGCGTGGTGGCGCTCTTGCCTTGCTCCAAGCCTTCGACGATGCCCAGACAGTCGGTCTTGATGTGCATCGGGAGCAGGCCATGCTTGAGCACCTGTATGATGGCGTACAGCTCGCCCCGTTGCGCCGTCTGCTGCGGACCTGGCAGCGGGCCGCACGCCATGCCCAGCAAGCGCTCACTGGACATCACAGCGATGCCCCAGCCAGCGCGATTGGCCCCTGGCCAGTGCAGCGGACACCTGGCCGAACCGTCAGTGTAGATCTCGCCCGTGATCGTCATGCCCTGGCCCCCCATGCAATAGTACCAAGACTCCGCGTCGACCGGCGGGGGCAGCTCAGGTAGAACAGCACGCGGCAAGAGGCCCCTCGTGTAGAAGAGGTCGTTGGGCGAGGCTGCGATAGCTCGCCGTCGGATGTTGTGGTCCACCGCATCCATCCTCATGTCGGCGAGGTTGGGACATGACCATAGTCGATGATGAAGATGGCCACAGCAACCCTGGCAGTTGACGCAGCTGGGGTCCATCACATACCCCATGGTGTAGAGGCGCTGCCGTGTCCACTGGGCACCAATGACTGTTGAGCGAAGCGCCCCCCTCGCACGCATACTCAGGTTCCAATGAGCAGCTCCAGCGTCAGCGTGTAGCATAGCAGCAATCGGCTCAATCCAGTATCCTCGCGGATCACGAGGGGCTGGCGGAAGCTCAGGTGCATGCTCCCTCCGATTGGACCAGTCTTCCCACTTCATATTACAATAGCTGCGCCTTGCCACGGCGCGTGCCAATTTCGGCGAGGTGTCGGTCAGGTCGAACTCCACTCCATTGCCCGTAGTCCACGAAGTCGCCGAGTGGGCCCTCCATCCAAGCCGACGTAGAAGTAGTTGAACGGCTCCAGCGGGGCCTGTCACCTGCCCCCATGTGGTAGTGTGGTCATTGTTCCTCGCCTGGATGTTCCAAGCCTTCTCCAGAACGTGCAGCGGCACCCGCCGCGCATAGACCATCTGCGCCCACGTGTAGATCGGCTCCGTCATGGCCAAGCTCTCGGGCATCTGGTGCGGGGCCTCCTCCAGCAGCGAGGCCAGCCAAGTCGATGACGCCGTGGGAGTCTTGGCCCAGCCCGTGCGGACCACATTCGCCATCGTGGCCAGCGTCGACGGGGGGGCGCCCACAACATGGAGGCCGTAGACCATGCCAGGCGCCAGGGCGGGCCGTGCGACTCGTCTCGCAATCCGCTTCAGTCCTCGGAGCTTCCTGAACCTGGGCAAGCGCTCCTTGATCTTGCGCACCCTCTTGTGGATCGCCGAGTAGGTGAGACGAGCACCCGTGCGACATTCCAGTCCCAAGACGGTGAGCTGCCGCACCGCCTCAAAGCCGAAATCGCGGAGTCGACGTGCCACTTGCTCAGCTAGCCACATCGAGGAGCTCAGTATCTTGGCTTTGTCCCTGGCGATCGGGAGCTCAAGCGCCTGGAGTACCTTGACCAGCCTCTCAATGACACTCGCCGCCTGCTCGAGCAGCTCGGATGCGGGCGCCATGAGCTGTAACGCGATGTCGTCCGCGCATATGTCGAGGGTGTAATTGATGCCCCCGTGCAGGGAGGCGGTGAAGACGTCAAACGGCACCACCATAGTCAACTGTAGGAGGTACATCGCCACCGAGCAACCAGGTAGCGCCCCCGCCATCGTGCGCACAGCATAGGAGTATGTCACACCCCATCGAATCCTTCTAGGAGCCATGTACATGGCGAGCACCGCCTTGAGGATGGCTGCAGGGAAATCGTAGTACCGCGCGGCCAAGACGATCTTGATCCACTGTACCCTGTCGAAGCACTTGCTGATATCGACTAGCGTGGTGACCACTGCGTCCCCCTCTGTGGTGTCCGCAGCCTCCGCGTAGACCATGGTGCGCGCGCCCACATCGATGGTCGAGCGCCCTGTGCCCAGGGCGAAGTAGGTGCGGTCATGCTGCGCCATCCACCTACGTATGTGTCCAATGCGCACCTTGGTGTAGACCCTGTAGACCGAGGGGAGTAAGGCGATGGGACGGAATCCGCCCTGTGCCTTCGTGAGGAGCATTACGTGCACCGCCATGATGGCCGAGGGCCATCGCCCCCAGGCCTCCGCCGCCCAGAGGATGTAGATCATCATGGCCAACGCGTCGTCGGCCAGTAGCGAGAAAGCTCTGGGTGGCATGGCATCGGCACCCAGGCCTGTCTTCCACGCGAAGGTCCTGGAGGCGGCCCTGATCTCGTCGATGGTCGGCACTGGCAAGGCGTCCTTCGGCATGGTGCATGTATATCCGAAATGTTTCCTTCCATGTCATCTAGCTGCGTGGATGGTGTGCTCGTTGATGATGTTGCCATCCTGCAGGGCTGTGATGTCGCCGAAGCCCTTCATGACCATATCCTTGTCTGGCTTCGGTGAGACCGCATCCCCTTTCCAGATGTCGTTCCAAAAATCCATCTGGCTGTCGGCCACGGCCTGCGGCAAGCCGTGCGGACGCCGAACCTGTCCACCTCGTTGTGTGCCCAGCCCTTCAGCTTCGTCATGCCGAAGAGGGGGGGAGCTCCCGTGACCATGGCGTCCTGGGCCCACTTGCGAAACTGATCCGTGCGCTTCCGAGCCGCCTGGGACTCCAACTGCTCAGCATGAGACTCGACTGTGGACGCGTATGCGGTGAGCAAGGTGCGGCAGACGTGGGAATCCTGCATGACCGCATAATGTATGAAACGCCATGCCGCCTCATACAAGAATGCGCCTTCCTGTGAGTGAATGTCCTGCCTGTGGCCAGGACGCAGAGCACGCGTCAGCCTCTGCCACCGAACCGCTGGATCGGACTGATGCGTGATGGATCTGACTAGGTCCTGGAGCGCCAGCGCCAAGTTCCTCATGTAGCGGGCCTCCGCTCCCGCAGCGGGCCGACCTGGTCGAAGTGGTGGGCCTCCAACTGGCCTCCAGACATATGTAGGTCGCGCGGCCCTGCCACAGTAGCGCTCTGCTTCCTGGATCTGGTAGATGTGGCTGAGGTCCTGCTCCACGAAGGTGATGAAGGTGGAGTGCAGTGCGTCCAAGCGTTGCTGAGCAGCTTGAGCGCCTTCTGGTGGTCCACGACGTGCATCCCCTTGACGACCTCGATGTACGGCTTCGGTGGCGGTGGGCCAGGCAGCGGGCTGGCGCCCGCGAAGCGCGGCTGTTGCCGTGGGAACGGCTTCGGAGCACGAAGGTGAAGCTGTAGATGGACCCTAGGTCGTGCTGCAAGGTCAAGACGTACTGGGTAGTGCGGTCGGGGCGCCCATTCATCCATAACCCGAGGCGCCATGCACACCTTCGCGAAATCGGGCGAGGTGAGCAGTAGCCGATGGTGCTGAGGTTGCCAGTGGTGGCCGCCCTGCACGTGCCAGTGGGGGGCGCCACCGCGATGGCGGGCAGCACCTGCATGAATCCGAGCTCGTCGAGGAGGCTCGGCTCAGCGTTCCAGTCGGCCGCGAAGATGTACGGGGCCGAGAAGTAGCGCAAGGCCTCTCCGATGCGCATGAGCTTCTTGTAGTTCGCGGTGAGGTGGTCGCTGGCCCCCACCGACTCCAAGTAGGCACAGCCCACAATGATACCACCCGTCGGTCCTACATGTACGTGTACTGCCACAGCCCAAGAGCGTAGACTCTCAAACCCGTCAATGACGCCCCCTGCGGGACTCAGTAGAGTAGTCTCCACGTGCGACTTGACAAAGATCCCAACTCCTGCACTCGGCATCGATGATGCGAGCCTGCGGCACGGGCTGATGAATGGCTGCCATCCATGCCGCTGTGCCCAGGTCCGCGCGTGGTCTAGTCGTTCACCGTCAAGGCGTAGTTCCTGGCAGGTAACCACAAGCGCGCCCCCCGCACCTTCAAGCAAAAACTGCTGGCACGTAGCCCAGCACGACCCATTGAAGGTGACCGCGCCTGTGGTGCCGCGCTTGGCTCCACGTCTTCCACGACGATTATCCATTCTCCCATGCCACCGCTTCTGCTGCGGGGGGTACGTACTGGAAGCTGTTGATGACGCCCTTGCCTGCGGCTGCTGCTGGGGCCGTGGCGGCGGGCACGACTCCAGCGGGTGGTGGTGCTGCTGTCGATGTGGCGCTGGCGCCTGCAGGCTGCCCGCCTGCGGCGCGAAAAGCGGCGCCCTGGGTAGGTACAGCAACGCCCACCCTGTTGATGTGGTCCGCCAGGGAGTCCAGGATGGAGCCGCCCACCACGTTGCGATCCTGGCCCGCGGTGATGGAATCCCGAGCGCCCTGCAGGATCTGCTGGAGGGAGGCAACCGCTGTGGCCGCCTCCGCCATGCCTGGCGCAGGGGGCGGTCCCATCGCGAGCCTGGCCTGAGCGACCTCCGCGTTCATGCCCCCGATCTGCTGCTGTGCCTTGGCCAGCTGGTCCGTCGCGTCGTCGAGCTGCCCTTTGAGGTCCTGCACCTTGGCCTCCAGGCGCTCGATCTCATGCTTGCAGTTGCTCTGCCTGGCGAGGGCTGAGCGGAGGATGTCCTCTGGGGCCATCTGGGCTCGCTCCTGCTGCTCAGCCTTGGCCAGTTCCTCGCAGGCCATGACCACGATAGGGTTCTGGTCGTCGTAGATGCGTCGGAGGCCTGACAGAGCCTTCCTGCACTTGGCCACAGCGGTGTCGCCTGGCTTGTCGACCGCCATGGCGTTCCCTGCGGCTGCGGATTCTTCGCCTGCCAAAAAGTAAAAAAACAAAAATATACACAAACAAACATAACCAACCCAACAAACACAATCCAACCAGACAAAAAACGCGCGGAGTCTCGCACCAATCGCAGTAAAACGACGGCAAGACCACCAATAAAAACCACCAACCCCCACACCCCCACTCACCCTTCACCCCCCCCACCCCCCCCCCCACCCCCCCCCCTCACCCCCACCACCCCCCCCACCCCCCCCACCCCTCCCTCCCCCCTACCCCCCCCTCCCCCCCCCCCCCACTCCCCCCCCCGCCATGGGCACTGCTTTCTCCGCGTCGTCGCGCAGCCACGCGCACCCTGGTCCGCCGTGGGCCTGCCTTTGCGGTCTCGGCCGCGCGCCCAACATGTCTGCCTGCTGGCAAAGTTGTTGGCGAACCCGCAGGCCCCCGTCGCCACGCATGGCCATGTGGCCTCTCGCCATGGTGGAGTCGGCGGCTCTCCTGTGCTGCTGCCACCCATGTCTGCGAGCTCCCCCGCTTCGCCGTGATGACCCGCGAGCGTCCTCCTCGCCGCCTCAAGGCGGAGGAGGCTCCTTGCCCGCGAGCGCGCTCGCCGCGCGCGTCTGTGCCAGGCAGGGGACGGCTCGCGCTGCAGACGCGGGCCCGTCCTGATGTCTGCCGCCCAGGGCGGCAGCGGGCCCCACCCAGCGAGCAGTGTGCACCAGCGCCCGCACGCCTCGGGCCGCTGGCGTCTGGGGCCGTATGGCTGCCCCCCCCCCCCCGCGCGCCCCCGCGCGCGTAGGAGCCCCAACGGCACCTGGAGGAGGAGGAGGGTGAGGAGGAAGAGGAGGAGGAGGAGGAGGAGCAGGAGGAGGAGGAGGGAGGGAGGATGGAGGAAGGAGGTAGGGGAGGTAGGTAGGGAGGATGGAGGAAGGAGGGAGGAGGTAGGAGGGCGGATGGGATGAGGGGGAAGGAGGAGGAAGAGGAGGAGGAGGAGGAGATGAGGTGAGACGCCGCCGTGGCGACCTCCTGAGCCTACTCGCCTGCCCCGGTCGTGCTCGACGCCGGCGGCCAGGTCATCGCTTTCCCCAGCCGCGCGCCCGCGAGCGCGCGCGCCACCCGCCCCGTTGCGGGGCCGCGGACTGCATCGCCAGATCGAAGCTTCGTGTCGGCCAGAGCCTCCAGACTCTCCTCCTCCTCCTCCTCCTTCTCCTCCTCTTCCTCCTCCTCCTCCTCCGTTTCGCTTCGATCTCACTCCCCAACCTCCGATACAGAGCCAGCCACAGACGACGGCCGAGGGTGTGCAACTAGCGGCGCGAACTCGGGACGCCGACATCAGTACGGAGTAGTTACAGCTGGGAACTGGACCTTCTCTTGTCCACGTCCTCTCCCCTCCTCCCTCACGATCCGATGTCCTGATCTCTGTTCCATGATGAGAGGTTCCCGCAAGTCCCGACCCCTGCCCAGCGACGGCGCTTCGTCCCGAGTCGTTGTGCTGACGATCCCATGGCCCGTCGGGCCCCCTGGACGCCGGATACTGCGAGAAACGCCCGTCTTGCTTTTCAACACGTTGGAGGTATGGGCCCTTTTGGCCTTAGACCAACTAGAGGCGGCAGCCTGGAGCGTGCTTGAATGCATAAAAATCCTACTTAACGCTGCGGTAAAGAAAATACGGCAGGTACCCGTCGTGTCGAACCCGGCGTTGGTTCCTGACACCACGGGGATCGTTCAAACTTGAACGATCGGCCGCTCCGTGAACGCCGGATCCTTCAACGACGGGCCGATTCTGGGCCACGGGCGGCGTTCAACCTTGCACGCCCGCGCTGGGGTCGCCGCCGGTCGACACGGCGCGAACCTACTGTAGGTATCTAAGTAGGGTTAAGTCGGGCCTGTCCCCCTACAGGGGGATTTTCGACAAAAAATTCAAAAAATACCCCCAAGATGCCCCAAAAAGGTAAAAAATCATCCCCAGACTATTTTTGGATTATTTTTGGGGTCTTTTTTCATTTTTCGTCGAGAATCCCCCTGTAGGGGGACAGGCCCGACTTAGGACCAAACGAGAAAGAAAAGAACAGGGCCCCGAGGGGCGCAGAGCATGCGCCAGCCAGGCGGAGCGAAGAGAGGAGCCGAGCGAGCGAACGAGAGCCCGAGCGGCGTCGTGGCCGACGACGAGCCGAACGGGAGGGTACCCACATTAACGTCGCGAACGAGCGAACGATAGCCCAGGTAACGTCGTGCTGAGCGACGATCGCGTCGCTAAAGAATGAGCACGGCGAAATTCTGCTGTGTTCGGCCCCTGGGGACCCTCGCCAGGCCCCGGGACCGTCAGAAAAACAGCCCCAGGGAAAGGGTCTGGACTTCCGGAGACGCCGTGCCGAAGCAAAATCAGGACGTCGCATGTCTGGGTTTGGGTCCTCCTCCTCCCACCTCCCCGGCGTGCTCCTCCTCCTCCTCCTCCTCCTCCTCCTCCTCCTCCTCCTCCTCCTCCTCCTCCTCCTCCTCCTCCTCCTCCTCCTCCCCTCGCCGCCCCCCGCGCCCCACGCAGCCCGCAGCAGGTCGTTCGGCTCCGACTGCCACCACGGCCCGGGAGGGGCCGCGGAGCGCACGAGGCCGGCGGCGCGCGGCACGCCGTGGAGCACGACG